TGGTGGAGGCTCCTTCTTTGGAAGCTTTTAAACAGAGGCTGGATGGCCATCTGTCAGGGGTGCTTTGAATGCAATATTCCTGCTTCTTGGCAGAATGGGGTTGGACTGGATGTCCCAGGAGGTCTCTTCCAACTCTAGGATTCTATGATTCTATGAGTAGCTGCCCTGGCTCTTTGGAATTCCCTTCCCATTGAGATCAAAACTGTCCCTTCCTTCCCTGTTATCTTTCAAGATACCCGGCCCTCATCATATATCCTCTCAGCCTTCTCTTCTTCAGGCTAAACATGCCCAGCTCCTTAAGCCACTCCTCATAGGGCTTGTTCTCCAGACCCTTGATTGTTTTAGTTGCCCTCCTCTGGACACATTCCAGCTTGTCGACATCTCCCTTCAATTGTGGTGCCCAGAATTGGACACAGTATTCCAGGTGTGGTCTAACCAAGGCGGAATAGAGCATGGGGAGCAGGACTTCCTTAGATCTAGACACTAGGCTCCTCTTGATGCAGGCCAAAATCCCATTGGACTTTTTTGCCACCACATCACATTCTTGGCTCATGTTTAACTTGTCCACAAGGACTCCAAGATCTTTTTCACACGTACTGCTCTCTTGCACAAGGCTCTCTTGCACCAAAACAAGCCAGGAATTGGGCCCTGGTTTGGATAGATAAAGGTGCAAACCTCAGAGCAGCATGTCATTATTTACACAAAGTTGCTCAGTAATTCTGTGCAATCCCGAAACATGCTGCCTTTGGAAGAGATCTTATATTTGGGTGGGCAACTATGGTGGGTCACCTTTGAACCCTCCAAGGGGAAATCATTCTCACTGCTTTCATTCATATCCAAATTCCCACAATATTAGAAGACCGCAGATGGTTTTCAAGAACCTTGTAAACCCAGAGAAGCTTAGAAGCATACAAAAAAGAATCCAGCTACAGAATCAAAACCATTTACAAGTTCATTAAACAACAAAGGACTCAGGCAACGAAATCCAGCAACGCCCCAAATCCACAAAACAGAAATACCTTTGTCGAAAGACACAGCACAAAGAACAACATTGGCCGCTGTTGCATTTGGCTGCGCGGCCAACACCCTTCGGAGCCACTAAAAGCTCACCGAAGGCATTAATCCGCTTCCGGTTTTGCAAAAATGGGATTTTAGGAGCAGCAGGAGAAGCCAGGAGCGTATTTGAGAGGCGGATCCATGAGGCCACAGCAGTGAAAGTGGCGCCTTTGGAGAAGGACCATGACCTTGGAAAACTACGACTTGCAGGATTCCATAGCATTGAAAGTAGTCTCAAATTGCATACATTCAATGCTTTCGATTAGGCATGGACCAACTTTGTCCTTCTGGGTGTTTTGGACTCCAACTCCCACCATTCCTAACAGCCTCAGGCCCCTTCCTTTTGCCCCTCAGCCGCTTAAGCGGCTGAGGGGCAAAAGGAAGGGGCCTGAGGCTGTTAGGAATGGTGGGAGTTGGAGTCCAAAACACCCAGAAGGACAAAGTTGGTCCATGCCTGCTTTAGACACATCCCTATTTGGAGGGGCTGTCTAAAGGATGCTTTGGGGCTTAGCTGTGCTTCCAAAACATAATAAAAGCCATCGCTGTCCAGTCCGCATGGCGTGTTCATCCCGCTTTAAGACCCCTTTACAGCCCATCATCCTCGCCCTCTCCTCCCTCCCCATTTTTGCATTATTTGCTGGAGTGAAGGGTCCTGGGTACCAAAAGCCGGAGGATGCAGCAAGGATGCTGGCGGATGGCCCAGCGGTTTCCATGGAAACTGCGTCCGGGTGACCTGTAGGAGCCCGGCAACATCATCCTGGCAGAGACCTTAACCCTTTTTGTCCCGCGGCTGAGCATTACGTCAGGGAGACCCACGCTAGAGCAAACTGACCGGCCGGCCACGTGCGCCAGGATGATGGGAGCGGTAATCCCACAGCTAAGAAGGAAAAAGCCCTTTCCAAAGCGAGACACGGAATTGGCAGCTCCCCCAGGAAACCAAACCCCAAGCGTGTCATTCAACACACATTCAGCGTGTCTTTTCTCTCGTTTGGGTTTAACCACTCCATTTCCGCAGATAGGAAACGTATGGGTCTGCTCCGGATTTCAGTCTGAATTTTACAGGAGCTCTGCAAGGCAGGTGGGGATAAGGTTTGGCAACTCAGGCCCTTTCTATTCCAGGATCTGTTGCCAGGATATCTGCTTTCAATTAGATTATATGAGTCTCCACTGATACATAGGAGCAACTTGAGAAAGTGCAAGTCGCTTCTGGTGTGAGAGAATTGGTCATCTGTAAGGATGTTGCCCAAGGGACATTGCCCAGATGTGTTGATGCTTTAGCATCCTTGTGGGAAGCTTCTCTTATGTCCTGCATGGGGAGCTAGAGCTGACAGAGGGAGCTCAGAATTAGCCATCTGCAAGGATGTTGCCCAGGGGACATTGCCCAGATGTGTTGATGTTTTAGCATCCTTGTGGGAGGCTTCTCTTATGTCCTGCATGGGGAGCTAGAGCTGACAGAGGGAGCTCAGAATTGGCCATCTGCAAGGATGTTGCCCAGGGGACATTGTCCAGATGTGTTGATGTTTTACCATCCTTGTGGGAGGCTTCTCTTATGTCCCGCATGGGGAGCTGGAGCTGACAGAGGGAGCTCATCCATACTCTCCCCGGATTTGAACTTCTGACCTGTCTGACTTCAGTCCTGCCAACACAAGGGTTTAGCCCACTGCACCACCGGATCACAGAATCCTAGAGTTGGAAGAGACCTGGTGGGCCATCCAGTCCAACCCTGTTCTGCCAAGAAGCAGGAAAATTGCATTCAAAGCACCCCTGACAGATGGCCATGCAACCTCTGCTTCAAAGCCTCCAAAGAAAGAGCCTCCACCACACTCTGGGGCAGAGAGTTTCACTGCTGAACATAGAATCCTAGAGTTGGAAGAGACCTGGTGGGCCATCTAGTCCAATCCCATTCTGCCAAGAAGCAAGAAAATCACATTTAAAGCACCCCTGACAGATGGCCATGCAACCTCTGCTTCAAAGCCTCCAAAGAAGGACCCTCCGCCACACTCTGGGGCAGAGAGTTCCACTGCTGAACATAGAATCCTAGAATCCTAGAGTTGGAAGAGACCTGGTGGGCCATCCAGTCCAACCCCATTCTGCCAAGAAGCAGGAAAATCACATCCAAAGCACCCCTGACAGATGGCCATGCAACCTCTGCTTCAAAACCTTCAAAGAAGGAGCCTCTGCCACACTCTGGGGCAGAGAGTTCCACTGCTGAACAGCTCTCACTGCTAGGAAGTTCTTCCTAAYGTTCAGATGGAATCTCCTTTCTTGTAGTTTGCAGCCATGGCTCCATTGCATCCTAGTCTCCAGGGAAGCAGAAAACAAGCTTGCTCCCTCCTTTCTATGACTTCTTCTCACATACTTATAGATGGCTCTCATCATGTCTCCTCTCAGCCTTCTCTTCTCCAGGCTAAACATGCCCAGCTCTTTAAGCCGCTCCTCATAGGGCTTGTTCTCCAGACCCTTGATCATTTGAGTCGCCCTCCTCTGGACACATTCCAGCTTGTCAACATCTCTCTTGAATTGTGGTGCCCAGAATTGGACACAATATTCCAGGTAAAGTGGTCTAACCAAAGCAGAATAGAGCATGGGGAGCAGGACTTCCCTGGATCTAGACACTAGGCTCCTATTGATGCAGGCCAAAATCCCGTTGGCTTTTTTTGCCGCCGTATGACATTCCTGGCTCATGTTTAACTTGTTGTCCTTGAGGACTCCAAGATCTTTTTCACCCGTACTGCTCTCAAGCCAGGCATCGTGCCCCCTTGGGATAAACAGATAATCTGGGATCACATCCTGGGATAGAAGCACAGTGTAGGAGGGGTCTCAGATCTCTCTTTTCAAGTCCCACGATTGTGGAGTTAGAGAGGTGCCAAACCACATTGATTCCGCACCGTAGATGCACTCAACAACAACTCCCAGGATTCCATAGCGTTGAGCCATGGTAGTTGAAATGGTGCCAAGGGGCATTCATTCTACGGTGTCGACACACCCAAAGCCACCTCCCTAGTGAACCTTTATAAAGGTCAGACTACAACCCAGAGCGGATCCACACAGGATAGAGTCTCCTTCTGTGGAGGTTTCCAGGCAGAGGCTGGATGGCCATCTGTCGGGAGAGCTTGGTTTGTTCCTTCCTGCCTGGAAGGGGGCTGGACTAGATGGCCTTTGGGCAGTGTTTCTCAACCTGGGGGTTGGGACCCCTGGGGGGGGGTCGCGACGGGGTGTCAGAGGGGTCGCCAAAGACCATCAGGATACACAGTATTTTCTGCTGGCCATGGGAGTTCTGTGTGGGAAGTCTGGCCCAATTCTATCAGGGTTCAGAATGGGGTTCAGAATGCTCTGTGATTGTAGGTGAACTATAAATCCCAGCAACTACAACTACCAAATATCAAGATCTATTTTCCCCAGACTCCGCCAGTGTTCACATTTGGGCATATTGAGTATTCGTGCCAAGTTTGGTCCAGATCCACCATTGCATGAGTCCATGGTGCTTTCTGGAGATAGGTGAACTACAACTCCCAAACTCAAGGTCAATGCTCACCCAACCCTTTCATTATTTTTTCCTGGTCATGGGCGTTCTATGTGCCAAGTTTGGATCAATTCCATTGTTGGTGGAGTTCTGAATGCTCTTTGATTGTAGGTGAACTATAAATCCCAGCAACTACAACTCCCAAGATCCAGAGAATGAAATTACATCCTGCCTATCAGGTATTTACATGACGATTCGTAACAGTAGCAAAATTCCAGTTATGAAGTAGCAACAAAAATAATTTTAGGGTTGGGGTCACCACAACATGAGGAATTGTATTAAGGGGTCACGGCGTTAGGAAGCTTGAGAACCACTGCCTTTGGGGGTCTTGTGAGGTTCTCTTTCACATCTCTATGATTGCAAAGTTCGGACTGCCACCCAGAACGGACCCAGCGTGCCCCCTCCCCGCGGCCCCGCTCACCCCTTCTTGGGCTCCTCGTCCTTGCTCTGCTTCCACTCCACCTTGCTCTTGCGGTACAGAAGGTTCATCTCGTTGCGCAGGAGTTCTCCCGGGGAGCAGGTCCGGCTCAGGGCCCCGTAGGTCCAGCGGCCCCGATCCTCAATGAACTGCAGAAAGACCGAGATCAGGGCTTCTTGGGGGAGTGCATTCATCTTCCGAGGGCCGGACGGAGAGGAAGGGGGCAGGTGAGGGGGCGTGCTGCGGGGGGAATGGAGAGGAGAGACGTTGCATTAGAGTACATTCATCAAGGGGGTCATTGTGCACCCCCCAGCAAGCTCCCAAAGTTACATAATCCAATGTGTCCTGTTCCAAGAGAACAAAGGCATGGGCCAACTTGGATCCTCCCTCCAAGTGTTTTCTACTCCCACAATGTGGGTATGGAGATGACCCTTTGGTTGACTTAAGTGTCCAGTTCCAAGAGAACAAAGGCATGGGCCAACTTGGATCCTCCCTCCAAGTGTTTTCTACTCCCACAATGTGGGTATGGAGATGACCCTTTGGTTGACTTAAGTGTCCAGTTCCAAGAGAACAAAGGCATGGGCCAACTTGGATCCTCCCTCCAAGTGTTTTCAACTCCCACAATGTGGGTATGGAGATGACCCTTTGGTTGACTTAAGTGTCCAGTTCCAAGAGAACAAAGGCATGGGCCAACTTGGATTCTCCCTCCAAGTGTTTTCAACTCCCACAATGTGGGTATGGAGATGACCCTTTGGTTGACTTAAGTGTCCAGTTCCAAGAGAACAAAGGCATGGGCCAACTTGGATCCTCCCTCCAAGTGTTTTCAACTCCCACAATGTGGGTATGGAGATGACCCTTTGGTTGACTTAAGTGTCCAGTTCCAAGAGAACAAAGGCATGGGCCAACTTGGATCCTCCCTCCAAGTGTTTTCTACTCCCACAATGTGGGTATGGAGATGACCCTTTGGTTGACTTAAGTGTCCAGTTCCAAGAGAACAAAGGCATGGGCCAACTTGGATTCTCCCTCCAAGTGTTTTCTCCTCCCACAATGTGGGTATGGAGATGACCCTTTGGTTGACTTAAGTGTCCAGTTCCAAGAGAACAAAGGCATGGGCCAACTTGGATCCTCCCTCCAAGTGTTTTCAACTCCCACAATGTGGGTATGGAGATGACCCTTTGGTTGACTTAAGTGTCCAGTTCCAAGAGAACAAAGGCATGGGCCAACTTGGATTCTCCCTCCAAGTGTTTTCAACTCCCACAATGTGGGTATGTAGATGACCCTTTGGTTGACTTAAGTGTCCAGTTCCAAGAGGACAAAGGCATGGGCCAACTTCAGCCCTCCCTCCATGTGTTTTTGACTTCAACTCCCATAATTCCTAACAGCCAGTTGGCCCATGCCTTTGTCCTCTTGGACACTGAAGTCAATCGAGAAATCATCTGATTACCCACATTGTGGGAGTTGGAGTCCAAACCACCTGGAGGGAGGGCCAAAGTTGGCCCATGCCTTTGTCCTCTTGGAAGCTCCATCAAGGGGTCATCATCATGCCCCACAATTCCTACTGGGTGTTAGGAATTGTGGGAGTGGAAGTCCAAAACACCTGGAGGGAGGGCTGAAGTTTGCCCATGTTTGGCTTAGATTGTGCAGAAGGGGGGCAGCTTGAATAGCTTTCCGAGTCTCCTCCAATTCTAGGATTCCAAATACCTTGGGATTCAAACACAAGAACCCATTCCTTGGATGGGGGCTTCCTGTCTGGACAAAGGGGGGACAGACTGGATGGCCTTTGAGTGCCCTTCCTCTAGGATCCTCCAATTCTGTGCCATTCCCAAATACTTTGGGATTCAAACCAAAGATGGAAGAAGATATTGTTTGGATGGGGCTTTCTTGCTTGGATGAAGGTGGGACGGACTGGATGGCCTTTGAGGGCCCTTCCTTTGGGATCTTCTAATTCTGTTCTGTTCCTTCTAGGATTCTCTAATTCTGTCCCATCTTGCTTGGATGAAGGTGGGATGGACTGGATGGCCTTTGAGAGCCCTTCATTTAGAATCTTCTAATTCTGTCCCATCCCCAAACACTTTGGGATTCAAAACAGAGACAGAAGAAGACCTTGCTTGGACTGGGCCTTCCTTCCTTGGACGAAAGGGGGACAGACTGGATGGCCTTTGAGGACTATTCCTTTAGGATTTGCCAATTCTGGGCCATCCCCAAACACTTTGGGATTCAAAACAGAGACAGAAGAAGACCTTGCTTGGACTGGGCCTTCCTTCCTTGGACGAAGGGGGGACAGACTGGATGGCCTTTGAGGACTATTCCTTTAGGATTTGCCAATTCTGGGCCATCCCCAAACACTTTGGGATTCAAAACACAGGCAGAAGAAGACATTATTTGGGTGGGACTTCCCTAGCCTTTGGATGGCCTTTGAGGGCCCTTCCTTTGGGATCCTCTAATTCTGTCCCATCCCTAAACACTTTGGGATTCAAAACAGACAGAAGAAGACATTGCTTGGATGAGGCCTTCCTTCCTTGGACTATTCCTTTAGGATTTGTCAGTTCTGTGCCATCCCCAAACACTTTGGGATTCAAAACAAAGATGGAAGAAGACATCGTTTGGATGGGGCTTTCTTGCTTGGATGAAGGTGGGACAGACCAGATGGCCTTTGAGGGCTTCTCTTCTAGGATTCTCTAATTCTGTTCCATTCCCAAACACCTTGGGATTCAAAACACAGGCAGAAGAAGACATTGTTTGGGTGGGACTTTTCTTGCTTGGATGAAGATGGGACGGATTGGGTGGCCTTTGAGGGCCCTTCCTTTGGGATCTTCTAATTCTGTCCCATCCCCAAACACTTTGGGATTCAAAACAGACAGAAGAAGACATTGTTTGGATGGGGCCTTCCTTCCTTGGACGAATGGGGGACAGACTGGATGGCCTTTGAGGAATATTCCTTTAGGATTTGCCAATTCTGTGCCATCTCCAAACACTTTGGGATTCAAAACAAAGATGGAAGAAGACATCATTTGGATGGGATTCAAAACACAGGCAGAAGAAGACATTGTTTGGGTGGAACATTTCTTGCTTGGATGAAGATGGGGTGGACTGGATGGTCTTTGAGGGCCCTTCCTTTGGGATCTTCTAAATCTGTCCCATCCCCAAACACTTTGGGATTCAAAACACAGATGGAAGAAGACATCACTTGGATTTCTGGTCGAGTCAGGGAGCAACTTGAGAAACTGCTTGGATGGGGCCTGCCTTGCATGGACAAAGGTGGGACAGAGGGATTGGATGGTCTTTGAGGGCCCTTATTTTAGGATCCTCTAGTTCTGTCCCATTCCTAAACACTCTGAGGTTGAAAACAAAGATGGAAGAAGACATTGTTTTGGTGGGACTTTCCTTGCCTGGATGAAGATGGGACCGATTGGATGGCCTTTGATGACCCTTCCTTTGGGATCCTCTAGTTCTGTCCCATCCCCAAACACTTTGGGATTGAAAAGAAAGATGGAAGAAGACATTGTTTGGGTGGGACTTTCCTTGCTTGGATGAAGATGGGATGGATTGGATGGCCTTTGAGGGCCCCTCTTCTAGGATCTTCTAATTCTGTCCCATCCCCAAACACTTTGAGATTCAAAACACAGATGGAAGAAGACATCGCTTGGATTTTTGGTCATATCAGGGAGCAACTTGAGAAACCACAAGTTGCTTGGATGGGGCCTGCCTTGCATGGTCAAAGGTGGGACAGAGGGTCTGGATGGCCTTTGAGGGCCCTTCCTTTAGGATCCTCTAGTTCTGTCCCATTCCTAAACACTCTGAGGTTGAAAACAAAGATGGAAGAAGACATTGTTTGGATAGGGCCTGCCTTGCTTGGACGAAGGTAGGATGGACTGGATGGCCTTTGAGGGCCCTTCCTTTAGGATCCTCTAATTCTGTCCCATCCCCAAACACTTTGGTATTCAAAACAGAGACAGAAGAAGACCTTGCTTGGACTGGGCCTTCCTTCCTTGGATGAAGGGGGGACAGACTGGATGGCCTTCGAGGACTATTCCTATAGGATTTGCCAATTCTGTGCCATCCCCAAACACTTTGGGATTCAAAACAAAGATGGAAGAAGACATTGTTGGGATGGGATTCAAAACACAGACAGAAGAAGACATTGTTTGGGTGGGACTTTCCTTGCTTGGATGAAGATGGGACGGATTGGATGGCCTTTSAGGGCCCTTCCTTTGGGATCTTCTAATTCYGKCCCATTCCTTCTAGGATTCTCTAATTTGGTCCCATCCCCAAACACTCTGAGATTMAAAACACAGACAGAAGAAGACATTGTTTGGGTGGGACTTTCCTTGCTTGGCTGAAGATGGGACGGGGATTGGATAGCCTTTGAGAGCCCTTCCTTTGGGATCTTCTAGTTCTGTCCCATCCCTAAACACTTTGGGATTCAAAACACAGACAGAAGAAGACATGGCTTGGATGGATGGGGCCTTCCTTGCTTGGACGGAGGTGGGACGGAAGGACTGGGTGGTCTTTGAGGGCCCTTCCTTGAGGATCCTCTAGTTCGGAGATCCAAAACACAGATGGAGGAAGACATTGCTTGGACGGGGCCTTCCTTGCTTGGGTGAAGGTGGGATGGAGGGACTAGATGGCCTTTGAGGGTCCTTCCTTTTAGGATCCTATAGTTCTGGGATTCAAAACACGGAAGAAGACATTGCTTGGACGGGCAGAATGGCATGGGAACGGATGGCCTTGGGGTGCCCCATTCAAAGCAAGGTCCTAGGATTCTACCTGTGACGCTTGACCAGGCACGGGCCAACTTGGGCCCTCCCTCCAGGTGTTTTGGACTTCAACTCCCAGAATTCCTAACAGCCGGTAGGCTGTTAGGAATTCTGGGAGTTGAAGTCCAAAACACCTGGAGGGAGGGCCCAAGTTGGCCCGTGCCTGCTTTTAATGGGGTGGGGGCTTGGTTTAGAGCCAGACGGAGGGATTGTGGCCCTTGCTTTGAATAGGGTGGGGGCTCGGCTTGGGGAGGGGGGGGTAGAGGAGACCCCTCACCTGGCCATTTTCTACAGCATAGGGATAGAGGAGACCCCTCCCCAAATTAGAGGGAGAAGAGGCCACACCCGGGGGGGGGGGGGGAAGGGGAGATGGGAAGGGGAGACCCCTCCCTGCCAGTGCCCCCTCCCCTCCCCTCCCTTCCCAAGCCTTGATTTTGGCTGTGTGTCTGTCTGCCTACCTGGGCCGAGGCCCTGCTTCTCCGTCGGGAGGGGCCTCCCTCCTCCTCCTCCTCCTCCTCTTCCTCCTCCTCCCCCTGGCCCCCCCCTTTGGGCCTTCCTCCTCCTCCTCCTCCTCTTCCTCTTCTTCATCGGGGAGGGGGCCTCCTCCGCTTCTCCCTCATCCTCCTCCTCCTCCGAGAGTGATGGTGAAGGTGATGATGAGGATGGTGCCGACGCTGGTTCATGGAGGCGGGCTGGGCCTTCCTCTTCCTCCTCCTCCTCCTCCTCCTCCTCTTCCTCGCTTCATCTGATGGGTGGGTGTTGGGGGGCAAGCTCGAGGGCAGCAAGGAGACCCCCTCCCTCCTCCTCCCTCGGTTGCCCTGGCGACGCAGCTGCCAAAGGGAGGGATGCAGGGATGCAGGGAAGGAAGGATGGAGACTCACCTGCCAAGAGGAGGAGGAGGAGGAGGAGGAGAACAGGCTCCACCCCCTTCCGCCCCACAAGCCCCGCCCTCGCAGGGACCCCCCAGAGGACACCTAGACCAGAAGGAGGCAGGCCCCCACCATCTCCATCTCTATCTCCACCTGCAAGGCACATTCCAACAAAGGACCCCACTGTTGGATCCTCCTGGTCAGGTTCAGAGGGCTCAGGAGATGAGGAAGGAGGAGACAAGTGGGTGGTTATAGGTTTCTCCAGGCTATATGGCCATGTTCCAGAAGCATTCTCTCCTGACTTTTCGCCTGCATCTATGGCAGGCATCCTCAGAGGTTGGGAGGACTAGGTTGTTGTTGGTTTTTTTGGGCTATATGGCCATGTTCCAGAAGCATTCTCTCCTGACTTTTCGCCTGCATCTATGGCAGGCATCCTCAGAGGTTGGGAGGACTAGGTTGTTGTTGGTTTTTTTGGGCTATATGGCCATGTTCTAGAGCAGGGGTCCTCAAACTAAGGCCCGAGGGCTGGATACGGCCCTCCAATGACATTTACCCGACCCTCGCTCAGGATTAACCTAAGTCTGAAATGACTTGAAAGCACACAACGACAACGACAACGACAACGACGACAACAACGATCCTATCTCATCAGCCAAAAGCAGGCCCACACTTCCCATTAAAATACTAATAGGTATATATTTGTTAAAATTGTTCTTCATTATTATTGTATTGTTTTAAGTGTTTTTTGCACTACAAATAAGATATGTGCAGTGTGCATAGGAATTCATTCATTTTTTTTTCAAATTATAATCCGGCCCTCCAACAGTTTGAGGGACTGTGACCTGGCCCTCTGTTTAAAAAGTTTGAGGACCCCTGCTCTAGAGGCATTCTCTCCTGATGTTTCGCCTGCATCTATGGCAAGCATCCTCAGAGTTTGGGAGGACCTCACGACCTCTGAGAATACTTGCCATAGATGCAGGTGAAACGTCAGGAGAGAATGCCTCTAGAACATGGCCATATAGCCCGAAAAAACCTACAACAACCCAGTGATTCCGGCCATGAAAGCCTTTGACAATACGTTATGAGGACTGTTGGAAACTTGGCAAGTGGGATTGGTATATCTGTGGAATGATGTCCAGGGTGGGAGGAAGAACTCTGGTCTCTTGGAGCTAGGTGTGAATGTTTCACTTGGCCACCTTGATTACTCATAGAATCCTAGAATCAAAGAGTTGGAAGAGACCTCCTGGGCCATCATCCAGTCCAACCCCATTCTGCCAAGAAGCAGGAATATTGCATTCAAATCACCCCTGACAGATGGCCATCCAGCCTCTGTTTAAAAGCTTCCAAAGAAGGAGCCTCCACCACACTCCGGGGCAGAGAGTTCCACTGCTGAACGGCTCTCACAGTCAGGAAGTTCTTCTCTGTGTAGTCTGACATCTCCTCTCTTGTAGCTTGAAGCCATTGTTCCGTCCTAGTCTCCAAGGAAGCAGAAAACAAGCTTGCTCCCTCCTCCCTGTGGCTTCCTCTCACATATTTATACATGGCTATCATATCTCCTCTCAGGCTTCTCTTCTTCAGGCTAAACATGCCCAGCTCCTTAAGCCGCTCCTCATAGGGCTTGTTCTCCAGACCCTTGATCATTTTAGTCGCCCTCCTCTGGACACATGCCAGCTTGTCAATATCTCTCCTCAATTGTGGTGCCCAGTCCCCGGTGGCACAGTGGGTTAAACCGCTGAGTTGCTGAGCTTGTTGACCAAAAGGTCGCAGGTTCAAATCCAAGGAGCAGCGTGAGCTTCTGCTGTCAGCCCCAGCTTCTGCTGTCAGCCCCAGCTTCTGCCAACCTAGCAGTTCGAAAACATGCAAATGTGAGTAGATGAATAGGTACCGCTCCGGCAGGAAGGTAACGGCACTCTATGCAGTCATGCTGGCCACATGACCTTGGAGGTGTCTATGAACAACGCTGGCTCTTTGGCTTAGAAATGGAGATGGGCATCACACCCCAGAATTGGACACAGCTAGACTTAATGTCAAGGGAAACCTTCATACATACATGTGTGTGTGTGTGTGTATACATAGGCTTACTATTTTAAAGATGCCCCCTGGTGGTGCAGCAGGTTAAACCACTGAGCTGCTGAGCTTGTGTGGTTCAAATACAGGGAGTGGCATGAGCTTCTGCTGTCAACCCCAGCTTCTGCCATCTAGCAGTTCGAAAACATGCAAATGTGAGTAGATGAATAGGTACCGCTCCGGCGGTTTTGTGAGATCATGTTGCTGCGTGGTTTCAAGACAACAGTATAGTAATTGTGAGGCCGCAGACCATATTTTCTTTCTTGCGGACCACTGGTGGTCCATGGACCACAGGTTGAGAACCATTGTTCAAGATCAAGGCACTTGGAATTGCAGAGGTAGAGCATGCAGCAAAGACAGACTTGTTTTTCTCAGAGGCTTAGAGATAAGGAGTGGAAAAGCAGGTGCATGCGGAATGAGTCCATGGGAGGGATGGAGGCCTTTTAAAGTGGTTCCTGCTGATACAATCCTTTGTGAGAGCAATGTTGCATTCGGGTGAACAGCTCTCGTTTTTGGACCTATGTTCTTGGAATTCGGGTATTCAAGTTTCCAAGTTTGTTCTTGCTTCTAATTCATGTGTGGCATAGGTTGCCCGCAGTGGATTCATGCTCTCTTGTTTATGGATATGTTTGTGGATTCACTCTGGAGACTGTGTTTGAAAGGATTTTGGACTCTTGGTTGTCTTGGAAATCTCCTTTTGAAAAAAAATTGCTACAAACACACACACACGTTCTTTAAAGAAACTTCTACTTACTGGATTACCTGGACAGAGTGTGGTCTGTGGTGAACAGGCATTTCAGGGCTCTAGTGCAACACCTTGGACCCAAGGATAATGGGAATGGCAGTTTGGATACCTTTAAACCCCCCCCCCCAAAGACAGAGCACCAAGGTCAGAAATGATGGGAGTGGCAATCCAGGCTCTCCTGATACTATTTCTCCCATCAACCCAGGTCATCCTCGCCACAGAATGATGTGAGTGGAAGGCTAGACATTATTTCCCCCTCCCATAAGCCCAGCCTGGCCAGGAGATGATGGGAATTGAAGTATGGATGGCCCTACCCCGATAAAGTCAGGTCATTAAGGTTAGAAGATGATGGGAGTGGCAGTCCAAGTGCTCCTCAGTGATTTGGGGACATAGGTTTTATTTTTGGGTGGCAGCAGACACATCAGCTGAAGGTGAATGGAGTTTTCCTATTGAGAAAAGCCTTGTTCCACCATGGAACTCCCTGCCACAGGACCCAGTGATGGATTTCTCCCCCACAAACAATCTGCTCCATCCCTATCTCACCCTGATTTTAGTATTTTTAGTATCTTAGTTTTTATCTTGCACATGCAGCCCACTCATTGTTATGTTATTTTATTTTATTGTGTATGATTTTGCTTTATAGTTTTTTTGTACTCATATGTTGTGTGTATTTTACTGTGTTGTTATTGTATTTTGGTTTTACTTTATTGTAATATGCTGTTGGGCTTGGCCTCATGTTAGCCCCCCAAGTCCCCATTGGGGAGATGGTGGCGGGGTATTAAATACAGTTTATTATTATTATTCCTTTAAAAGTGGGTTAAAGCAGGGGATTTAGGGCCTTAAATTACTTTCTCCTCCAATTTTAATTGAATCCCTTATATTTATGTCTCATTCATAAAATGCCCCCAAACCCAATCAATCAATATGCCCAATAGTCATCGTTCGACTAGGATTTGTGAGACCAAAATCCAACCCTCTGAAGACTTGATCTGTTAGAGCAGGGGTCCTCAAACTATGGCCCGAGGGCCAGATACGGCCCTCCAAGGTCATTTACCCGGCCCTCGCTCAGGGTCAACCTAAGTCTGAAATGACTTGAAAGCACACAACAACAACAACAACAACAACAACAACAACAACAATCCTATCTCATCAGCCAAACGTAGGCCCACACTTCGCCTTGAAATACTAATACTGTATATACTTGAGTACAAGTCTAGTTTTTCAGCCCCCTTTTTAGGCTGAAAAAGCTCCCCTCAGCTTATACTTGAGTCAAAGTGATTTATTATTTTACTCTGTTATTAGTATTATTTTTATTACATTTATTATTTTACTTTATTATCAGTATTATTACATTTACATTATTTTACTTTATTATTATTTTATTGCATTTATTTTACTCTATTATTATTATTACATTTATTAATATTTCTTTATTATTGTTGTTATTATTACATTATTGTTTTACTCTGTTATTGGTATTATTACATTTCCATTATTTTACTCTATTATTATTTTATTACATTTATTTTACTCTATTATTATTGGAAGGATACATAAGCACATTTATACTGAAAAAGGTTAGAATAATGGTTTAATCAAAGTTGGTCAGGCTTATTTTAAATTACAGTTTTATGTATTGGAACTTGTGAAGCAACAAGCTCCAATAAGGAAACCGAGAAGAGGGGGAGATGGGCAGGAAAGGTGTATAAAAGGAAGTGGTGGTGGGGAAAAGTCAGTAGTGTCTTCCTTTGCTGCAGAGATACAAGCAATATATTCATTTCCAAGCAAAACCGGCTTGTGAGTGATTATTTAATATTGCTATATAAAACCTACAGTCTTACACAGTGAAAAACATTTAACCTACTGTTTCCTCAATTCGTGTAATTTTATTGTTATCTATTTTTATTTTGAAAGTTACCCGTAGCAGCTGCATTTCCCACTCTCGGCTTATACTTGAGTCAATAAGTTTTTCCAGTTTTTGGTGGTAAAATTAGGTGCCTCAGCTTATATTTGGGTCGGCTTATACTCAAGTATATATGGTAAGTTTATATCTGTATTGTATTGTTTTCAAGTGTTTTTTGCACTACAAGTAAGATATGTGCAGTGTTCATAAGATATGTGCAGTGTTCATAAGATATGTGCAGTGTTCATAAGATATGTGCAGTGTTCATAAGATATGTGCAGTGTT